AAATTGTTTCCTGGAATCTTCCAATACTGCCACAAACCACCACCATCTACCAACACTGCCACCAACACTGCAACCAACCACAACCATCTACCAACACTGCAACCATACACTACCATCTACCAACACTGCCACCACACAACATCACAACCATCTACCAACCACTACCACCACCAACCACCACCATCTACCAACACTGCCACCAACCACAACCATCTACCAACACTGCCACCTTACACTACCATCTACCAACACTTCCACCAACCACAACCATCTACCAACACTACCACCAACCACAACCATCTACCAACACTGCCACCAACCACAACCATCTACCAACACTACCAACACTGCCACCAACCACAACCATCTACCAACACTGTCTCAACCACAACCGTCTACCAACACTACCACTAACCACAACCATCTACCAACACTGCCACCAACCACAACCATCTACCAACACTACCACCAACCACAACCATCTACCAACACTGCCACCAAACACTACCATCTACCAACACTGCCACCAACCACAACCATCTACCAACACTGCCTCAACCACAACCATCTTTCACACTTTCACGTGAAAGGCACGGAACGCTACATAAAGAGTGGCAAGCAGGATAATGAATTTGGAGGAAACTCTATGAATTTTTTATACCAGACCGAAAGAGAATTCAAAAGGAGAAGCATGGAGAGTGTATGGAACTGGATGCCAGATCCACTTGCATTCCAGAATTACAGATACAATTACACACCGAAAGGGAACTACAACTACGACAGGCAACTGCCCTACAACAATCAGTACTGGTCAGAACAAACTCATTATGTCCACGCATAATGGGCTTGCCGAAAAAGTCTCCCATTCAAACTATCACAAATAGAGTAACTTCATTCATCTTTGCCAACATACAAGGACTGAAAACACGATCAAACAACAAAGTACAGTTCATAAATGGCCTCCTCACGGAGTCAAATGCAGTATTTGGAGCTTTCACAGAAACCCATGCCACTCCGCCACTCTTTATGTAGCGTTCCGTGCCTTTCACGTGAAAGTGTGAAAGACGTGAAAGTGTGAAAGATGGTTGTGGTTGAGGCAGTGTTGGTAGATGGTTGTGAATTGTTGGACAGTGAGATCTGGATTCCAGGATATAACCTATACAGGTGTGATAGGAAAATTAGGTCACATGGAGGAGTGGGTCCGTATATTAGGGAAGACCTTGTATGCTCTGAGCTCCTAAACGTTACAAATGAGGTGGTAGAGGTACTGGGATTAAAAATAGAGAAAATAAATTTAGTGATTATTCTAATTTACAAACCGCCAGATGCAACGGCTGAGGAATTCACAGAACAGATAAACAAAATAGAGAATAGCCTTGATAATTTGGAGAACCCGATACCTGATATTATCTTCCTAGGTGACTTCAACTTGCCTAGTCTCAGGTGGAAAATAGCAAACAATAATATTATACCAGGAAATCTATCAGGACCTAACCAACCACAGATTAGAGAACTACTTAGATTCTGTGACAAATTTTCACTCAATCAGCAGATATCGGAGCCAACGAGAAATGAAAATATTCTAGATCTGGTCTTTACGAACAATGAAGACATTATCAGAGACATTACGGTATCAGATACCACATACTCAGATCACAAGCTCATTGAAGTGCAAACGACCATTAATAATCAGAATAGACCTAAAACGTTGATAAAGCGAGAGGGGCTATTCAGTAAATTCAATTTTAATAGTAAAAGGATAGACTGGGAGATAATAAACAGGGAACTTACAAACATTCCATGGGAAACTGTTCTAAGTAATATAAGTCCTACAGAAGGAATAGAAAAACTGACTTCGGAAGCGTATCAAGTCTGTCTGAAACATGTTCCTTTGAGGAAAGCCAGAAAGAGATCCATCGTAGAAAGAGAACGCAGACGACACTATAAACGCAGGAAAAAATAACGGAACTGCTTATGCAGACACGAATTTCCCGTCAAAGAAGGAATAATTTAAATAGGGAGATTGAAGAAATCGAGCGGAAATTGAAACACTCATATGAAACTGAAGAAAGGCAGTTAGAACAGAAAGCAATTCAGGAAATAATAAAAAATCCTAAATATTTCTTCACATATGCGAAATCAAAAGCAAAAACCACTGCCAGTATTGGACCTATTCGTACAAGTGAAGGTTCATACACGGAGGATGACAAAGAAATTAGTGAAATCCTAAAAAAGCAGTATGAGGACACGTTTAGCACTCCAATAAACAACATGAAAGTGGAAGATCCAGACAATTTCTTTATGCGGGATATTCAAACCCCTGTAAATATAACTGATATCAACACGAGCGCACTAAATTTTGAAAGAGAAATTGAAAACATGCCCATGCACTCGGCCCCAGGTCCAGACTCATGGAATTCAATATTTGTAAAGAAATGCAAAGTGCCGGTAGCACAGGCACTCAGTATAGTGTAAAGGAAGAGCTTCGACACGGGGGAGATACCAGATGCATTTAAAGTATCAGACATAGCCCCTCTACACAAGGGAGGGAGCAAAGCATTGGCAAAGAATTATAGACCAGTTGCACTAACATCGCACATCATAAAAGTATTTGAGAGAGTGATTAGGAGTCAGGTCACCAATTTCATGGAGACCAATGACCCTCACAACCCAGACCAACATGGATTTCGAGCGGAAAGATCGTGCCTCTCACAGCTACTTGAGCACTACGACAAAGTCACTGAGGCATTAGAAGAAAAACAGAATGCTGATGTGATATACACGGACTTCGCAAAGGCTTTCGATAAATGTGACCATGGCGTGATAGCACACAAAATGAAGTCAATGGGAATAAGCGGTAAAGTAGGACGCTGGATACTCAGTTTTCTGTCAAACAGGACTCAGCGAGTAACGGTCACCCATATAAAATCTAGTCCAAGTACAGTTAAAAGCTCTGTACCTCAGGGTACAGTCCTTGCACCGCTGCTTTTCCTTATTCTCATATCAGATATAGACAAAAATACAAGTCACAGCTTCGTATCATCCTATGCAGATGACACAAAAATCAGTATGAAAATTATCTCGGCTGAAGACATTGAAAAACTTCAAGCTGATATTAATAAAGTTTTCGACTGGGCATCAGAAAATAACATGATGTTTAACAGTGGTAAATTCCAAGTACTCAGGTACGGTAAATATGAGGACCTTAAACAAAACACAATCAAATGTACCCATAGTAGGAAAACAGCATGTAAAGGATTTGGGAATAATAATGTCTGACGACCTAACGTTTAAGGAGCATAACCAAGCAAATATTGCGACAGCCAGAAAAATGAAAGGATGGATTACGAGAACTTTCAAATCCAGGGATCCAATCACAATGGTTGTACTCTTCAAGTCACTTGTGTTTTCCCGTCTTGAGTACTGCTCAGTACTCACTTCCCCCTTCAGAGCAGGAGAGATTGCTGAAATAGAGGGAATACAGAGAACATATACGGCACGCATAGACGCAATAAAGCACCTAAATTATTGGGATCGTCTCAAAGCCCTCCAAATGTACTCACTAGAAAGAAGACGAGAGAGATATCAAATAATATACAACTGGAAGATACTGGAGGGCCAAGTACCAAATCTACACAGTAAAATAACCACGTACTGGAGTGAACGATATGGAAGAAAATGCAAAATAGAACCAGTGAAGAGCAGAGGTGCCATATGCACAATCAGAGAACACTGTATAAACATCAGAGGTCCGCGGTTGTTCAACGTCCTTCCAGCAAGCATAAGAAATATTGCCGGAACAACCGTGGACATCTTCAGGAGGAAACTAGATTTATTCCTACAAGGAGTGCCGGACCAACCGGGCTGTGGTGGGTATGTGGGCCTGCGGGCGGCTCCAAGCAACAGCCTAGTGGACCAAACTCTCACAAGTCAAGCCTGGCCACGGGCCGGGCTTGGGGAGTAGAAGAACTCCCAGAACCCCATCAACCATGTATCAACCAGGTATCATCTACCAACACTACCACCAACCACAACCATCTACCAACACTGCCACCAAACACTACCATCTACCAACACTGCCACCAACCACAACCATCTACCAACACTGCCATCTAAGAAATAAATACAAAGGTGAACTCGCCTTTATTATGCTCCTGTTTTATTTCAACTAATATTTTGTATATTTATAGTTTCTATATTTATATATCATAAATAATAGAAACTACTTTTATGCAGTAATTAAGGTTGCCACGAGGCCTCAATTTTTTGTTACCCAACGTTGTGTAGTAAATTATGACAAACAATTTATGACTGGACACAAAAACGTATTGATTACTTAAAAACTAACTTTGCCCCAGCTCTCAAAAAATTCCCAGGCACATTCTGGCAACATAAAGTATTTGCTGGGTAGTTTACCTCAGGATCTGGAGTGTATTGCAATGCCTGGAGTGTACATTTCGTCCTGGAGTGTACTTCAGGGCTTGTCGTTTACTTTAGAGTCTTGAATATATATCAGGGCCTGAAATGTACTTCAGGGTCTGATGTGTACTTCTCATCATTATGTGTATTTCAGGGTCTGGAGTGTTTTTCAGGGTCTGGAAAGTACTTCATGGTCTGTAATGTCTTTCGGGATTGGGGTGTTCTGTAGGACCTGGACTGTACTTCAGGGCCTGGAGTGTACTTCACTTTCTGGAGTGTACTTCAGTGCCTATAGCCTTCTTCATGGCCTATAGTTTACTTTATGTCCTATAGTGTGCTTCAGGGCATGAAGTGTGCTTCAAGTCCTGATTAGTACTTCAAGGTCTAAAGTATACCTCAGGCCCTGCAGTGTGTATAAGAGTCAGAAGTGCACCTCAGGTTCTTCATAAATCAGGGTCTGAAGTGTATTTTTCATTCTTGAATGTACTTCAAGGTCTGGAGTGTACTTTAGGGTCTGATGTGGTCATGGTACACTTCACGTCTTTGAGTGTACTTCAGTGTCTGGAGTGTTCTTCGTGGTCATGAGTGCAATTCATGTCTTGGAGAGTATTTCAATGTCTAGAGTGTACCTCAGGTCCTTGAGTTAACTTCAGGGTCTGTAGTGAACTTTAGGGTCTGGAGGTTTTTTTCAGGATCATGAGTGTTCTTCAAGATCTGGAGTGGAATTCAGTTTTGGAGTGTACATCAAATCCTGAATTGAACTTCAGTGTTTGAAATGTGCTTCAGGGTCTGCAGTGTACTTCAGGGTCTAAAATGTAGTTGAAGGTCTGTAGTACACTTCAGATACTGGAGTGTCCTTCAGGGACTTTAATGTATTTCAGGGGTCTTGAGTGTAGTTTAAAGACAGGAGAGTACTTTTGGTCCTGGAGTGTATTTCAGAGCCTGAAGTCTACTTCATGATCTGAAGTGTACTTCAGGGTATTGATTATACTTCTGGATCTTAAGTGTACGTCAGGGCCTGGCATGTACTTCTGCTCCTGGAGTGTACTTCAGGTCCTTGACTGTATTTCAGGGACTGGAGTGCATTTCAGGGTCAGCAGTATATATCTGATATATACTAGTAGTAGTAGTTGTGGGTGGTGGTAATATATATAGCAGTATATATTTAATATTTGATGTGTTGGCAGGTGTGAAGGAGAGGGAGAACGCCACCCGCCGCCTCCTGGACACTCTGGACCAGCTGGAGTGTGTCAACAAGGCTCACCAAGCTGACAACCTCAAGCTGGAGGAGGAAAACACTCGCCTAAATACAGCGAATCATTTGCTCGAGGAGGACAACAGGAAGACTAAGAACGAAGGGCAGCTTGCTCAGGAGGAGATTGTTCTATTAAAGTCCCAGATCCGTCAAGTGGAGGAGGACTCGAGGCTGGTCAAGGAGGAGATCCGTAAAGTGGAGGAGGACTCGAGGCTGGTCAAGGAGGAGATCCGTAAAGTGGAGGAGGACTCGAGGCTGGTCAAGGAGGAGATCCGTAAAGTGGAGGAGGACTCGAGGCTGGTCAAGGAGGATAACATGAAGACTAAGAACGAAGTGCGCCTTGCTCAGGAAGAAAACATTCAATTAAAGTCCCAGATCCGTCAAGTGGAGGAGGACTCGAGGCTGGTCAAGGAGGATAACATGAAGACTAAGAACGAAGTGCGCCTTGCTCAGGAAGAAAACATTCAATTAAAGTCCCAGATCCGTCAAGTGGAGGAGGACTCGAGGCTGGTCAAGCAGGAAATCCGACAAGTGGAGGAGGACTCGAGGCTGGTCAAGCAAGAGATCCGACAAGTGGAGGAGGACTCGAGGCTGGTCAAGTCGAGGAACCAACAGCTGGAGCTTGCGGAGACCCAAGCCCAGGAGAGGGTCAAGACGGCGTTGACGAGGATCGCTGAGCTAGAGCGAGAGACACAACAGCTGCAAGAGATGAATAATAACACAGCAAGAGAGAAAGGACTTGTTCAAGAGCAACTCTCACTCCTGGAAGAACAGGTCAGGGTCCTTCAAACAGCAAACGCTGCTCTAAATGAAGAAAAGGAAGAAACAATCAGGAAGACTGAAGAGGAGAAACGACTTGTTGAAGAGCAACTCTCCGTCAGTGAAGAAGAGGCCAGTAAGTTACGGGAAGGAAACACGGCTCTACAGAGTGATAAAGACAGACAGGCACAGCAACTCAGAAGTACTCAAGAAGAACACGAGAAGTGCAAGAGGAATGTCAGTGAGCTGTACACAAGGTAAACTGTGCTACTTCACTTCTGACCTTCACTCTCCTTCCTGCTTATTTTGCCTTACTTCTGAGGGAGTAAGAGGGAGTGAGGTGTGTATGAATATGTGTGAATGTTTATGAATGTGTGAATGAATGTGTGTATGAATGTGTGTGTATGAAAGGCAGACCATGATAGACACACCGAATGATAAATGCAAAATGAGAAATTGATTGAGACAGAGACGTACAGAGACAGAGAGACGTACAGAGACAGAGAGACGTACAGAGACAGAGAGACGTACAGAGACAGAGAGACGTACAGAGACAGAGAGACGTACAGAGACAGAGAGGTGTACAGGGACAGAGAGACGTCTAGAGACAGAGAGACGTACAGAGACAGAGAGACGAACAGAGACAGAGATGTACAGAGACAGAGAGACGTACAGAGACAGAGAGACGTACAGAGACAGAGAGACGTACAGAGACAGAGAGACGTACAGAGACAGAGAGACGTACAGAGACAGAGAGACGTACAGAGACAGAGAGACGTACAGAGACAGAGAGACGTACAGAGACAGAGAGACGTACAGAGACAGAGAGATGTACAGAGACAGAGAGACGTACAGAGACAGAGAGACGTACAGAGACAGAGAGACGTACAGAGACAGAGAGACGTACAGAGACAGAGAGACGTACAGAGACAGAGAGACGTACAGATACAGAGAGACGTACAGAGACAGAGAGATGTACAGAGACAGAGAGACGTACAGAGACAGAGAGACGTACAGAGACAGAGAGACGTACAGAGACAGAGAGACGTACAGAGACAGAGAGACGTACAGAGACAGAGAGACGTACAGAGACAGAGAGACGTACAGAGACAGAGAGACGTACAGAGACAGAGAGACGTACAGAGACAGAGAGACGTACAGAGACAGAGAGACGTACAGAGACAGAGAGACGTACAGAGACAGAGAGATGTACAGAGACAGAGAGACGTACAGAGACAGAGAGACGTACAGAGACAGAGAGACGTACAGAGACAGAGAGACGTACAGAGACAGAGAGACGTACAGAGACAGAGAAGTACAGAGACAGAGACAGAGAGACGTACAGAGACAGAGAGATGTACAGAGACAGAGAGATGTACAGAGAACGAGACATGTACAGAAACAGAGAGACGTACAGAGACAGAGAGATGTACAGAGACAGAGAGACATACAGAGACAGAGAGACGTACAGAGACAGAGAGACGTACAGAGACATAGAGATGTACAGAGGCAAAGTGGAACGGGTCGAACAGGACTATGTTACCCTTGAAGGGGGTGGTTGGGGTCGGCCCATTTGTTACCCTTAAAGGGGGGTGGTTGGGGTCGGCCCCTTTGTTACCCTTGAACAGGGTGGTTGGGGTCGGCCCCTATGCTACCCTTCAAGGGGGGTGGTTGGGGTCGGCCCCTTTGTTACCCTTGAAGGGGGAGGTTGGGGTTGGCCCATTTGTTACCCTTGAACAGGGTGGTTGGGGTCGGCCCCTTTGTTACCCTTGAAGGGGGAGGTTGGGGTCGGCCCCTTTGTAACCCTTGAAGGGGGAGGTTGGGGTCGGCCCCTATGCTACCCTTGAAAAGGGGTGGTTTGGGTCAGCCCCAATGCTACCCTTGAAGAAGGGTGGTTGGTGTCGGCCTCTATGTTACCCCTCTAAGGGGGTGGTTGGTGTCGGCCCCTATGTTACCCCTCTAAGGGGGTGGTTGGGGTCAGCCCCTATGTTACACTTGAAGGGGGGGGGGCTTCGGCCCCTATGCTTCCCTTGAAGGGGGTTTGGTTGGGGTCGGCCCCTATGCTACCGTTTAAAGGGGGGGGGGGTCGGTCCCTATGGCCCCTATGTTACCCTTGAAGGGGGTGGTTGGTGTCAGTCACTATATTACCGTTGAAGGAGGGTTGGTTGGGGTCGGCCCCTATGCTACCGTTGAAGAGGGGGAGGGGGTTGGGGTCGGCCCCTATGTTACCCTTGAAGGGGGGTGGGGGTTTGGGGTCAGCCACTATGTTACCGTTGAAGGGGGGTTGTTTGGGGTCAGCCCCTATGCTACCCCTTAATGGGGATGGCTAGGGTCTCCCACTATGTTACCCTTGAAGGGGGTGGTTGGGGTCAGCCCCTATGTTACCCTTGAAAAGGGAGGTTAGGGTCAGCCACTATGTATTGTGTGTGTTGGTGGTGATGGGTACTGTGTGTAGCTGGTGATGGGTATGGTGTGTGTAGGTGGTGATAGGTATAGTGTGAAGATGCTTTCAATGACCGGAGGATATGATGGTGACCCGGGAGGGTGTGTGTAGGTGGTGATGAGTATGGTGTGTGTAGGTGGTGATGGGTATGGTGTGTGTAGGTTCTGATGGGTATGATGAGTGTGTATAGGTGGTAATGGGTAACGTGTGTGTGTGTAGGTGATGATGGGTATGGTGCGTGTAGGTGGGGATGGGTATGGTATGTGTAGGTGGTGATGAGTATGGTGTGTGTAGGTGGTGATGGGTATTATGTGTGTAGATGGTGATAGTATGGTGTGTGTAGGTGGTGATGTTTATTATGTGTGTATTTGGTGATAGGGTATGGTGTATGTATGTGATGATACGTATGGTGAGTGTAGGTGGTGATGGGTATGACGTATGTAGGTGATAATAGGTATGGTGTGTGTAAGTTTCGATTTGTATGGTGTGTGTAGACGGTGATGGGTAAAGTGTATGTAGGTGATGATGGGTATCGTGTGTGTAGGTACTGATTTGTATGGTGCTATTATGATTACATTGACATGAGAGTAAAGGAGGGTATGGTCGTGACCCGGGAGGGTGTGTGTAGGTGATGATCGGTATGGTGTATGTAGGTGGTGATGGGTATGGTGTGTGTAGGTGGTGATGGGTATGGTTTGTGTAGGTGGTGATGGGTATGGTGTGTGTAGGTGGTGATGGGTATGGTGTGTGTAGGTGGTGATGGGTATGGTTTGTGTAGGTGGTGATGGGTATGGTGTGTGTAGGTGGTGATGGGTATGGTTTGTGGTGATGGTGTGTGTAGGTGGTGATGGTGGTGTATGGTGTGTGTAGGTGGTGATGGGTATGGTGTGTGTAGGTGGTGATGGGTATGGTGTGTGTAGGTGTGATGGGTATGGTGTGTGTAGGTGGTGATGGGTATGGTGTGATGTAGGTGGTGATGGGTATGGTAGGTGTGTAGGTGGTGTGGGTATGGTGTGTGTAGGTGGTGATGGGTATGGTGTGTGTAGGTGGTGATGGGTATGGTGTGTGTAGGTGGTGGTGGGTATGGGTAGGTGTGTGTAGGTGGTGATGTGGTGATGCTGTGTGTGTGGTGGTGATGGGTATTGTGTGTGTAGGTAGTGATTGGTATGGGTGTAGTGAAGGAGGTGATGAGTATGGTGTGAAGATGTTTACTTTGAAAGGAGGGAATGGGAGGGTATGGGGAGAATCGGGAGGGTGTGTGTAGGTGGTGATGGGTATGGTGTGTGTAGGTGGTGATGGGTATGGTGTGTGTAGGTGGTGATAGATATAGTGTGTGTAGGTGGTGATAGGTATGGTGTGTCTAGGTGGTGATAGATATAGTGTGTGTAGGTGGTGATAGGTATGGTGTGTCTAGGTGGTGATGGGTATGGTGTGTGTGTAGGTGGAGAGGGGTATAGTGTGCGTAGGTGGTGATGGGTATGGCGAGTGTAGATTGTTTTGGGAATGGTGTGTGTAGGTGGTGATATGTATAATGTGCTTAGGTTGTCATGGATATGGTGCATGTAGGTGGTGATGAGAAAGATGTGTGTGGTTGGTGATAGGTATGGTGTGCGTAGGTGGTGATGTGTATGGTGTGTGTAGATTGTTTTGGGTATTGTGTGTGTAGGTGTGTATATGTATGGTGTGTTTATTTGGTGATGGATATGGTGCATGTAGGTGGTGATGTGAATGGTGTGTGTAGATGGTGATGGGTATGGTATGCCTAGGTTGTGATGGATAACGTGTGTGTGTGTAGGTGGTGATGGGTATGATGTGAAGGTTCATAAATTTACAGGAGGGTATGGGAGGGTATAGTGGAGACCCTGGAAGGGTATGTGTAGGAAGTGATGGGTATGGTGTGTGTTGGGGGTAATAGGTATGGTACGTGATTAGGTGGTGACGGGTATGGTGAGTGTTGGTGGTGATGGGTATGGTGCGTGTGTAGGTGGTGATGGGTATGGTGAATGATAGTGGTGATGGGTATGGTGAGCGTAGGTGGGGATGGGTATGGTGTGTGAAGGTTGTTATGGGTATGGTTTATGTAGGTGATGATATGTATGGTGTGGGAAAGTAGTAATGCGTATGGTGTACTCACCTAATTGTACTTACCTAATTGTGCTTGCGGGTGTTGAGCTTTGTCTCTTTGGTCCCGCCTCTCAACTGTCAATCAAGTGATGTGCAGATTCCTGAGCCTACTGGGCTCTGTCATATCAACATTTGAAACTGTGTATGGAGTCAGACTCTACCACATCACTGCTTAGTGCATTCCATTTAAGTGGAGATGGATATTATGTGTGTAGGTGGTGATGGATATTGTGGAGATCGATATGGTGTGATGGATATGATTGGTATGGTGTATGTAGGTGGTGATGGGTATGGGGTGTGTAGGTGGTGATGGGTATGGTGTGTGTATGTAGTGATAGGTATAATGTGTGAAGGTAGTAATGGGTATGGTGTGTGTAGGTGGTGATGGGTATGGTGTGAAGATGCGTACATTGACAGGAGGGTATGTGAGGGTGTGGTGAAGACCCGAGAGGGGTGTGTAGGTGGTGATGTATGGGTATGGTGTGTGTTGGTGGTGAAGGGTATGGTGTGTGAAGGTTCTGATGGGTATGATGTGTATAGGTGGTGATGGGTATGGTGTGTGCAGATGGTGTTGGTATAGTGTGTGTAGGTAGTGATTGGAATTATGTGTGTTGGTGTTGATGCGTATGGTGTGTGTAGATCGTGATATGTGTTGTGTGAGTAGGTGGTTGTAGGTATGGTGTGTAGGTG